GCCTGGTGTTTTTACTGAGGATCATCCTGACCCGTCTCTGGTGTTTTATTTCTGTTCTTCTTTGTAACTAGATGTCGTTGTAAACAAAGGAAACCTCAATGAGGCTGAAATAAAGGTCTGAAATGAAACAAAGTCAACTTTATTGTCAATTTCAAAATGTGTGGAATCGAAATTGCATTTGTCTCCGTCCCACGGTGCAATACAACCAAAATAAGGTAAAATAAAATAAGGTAAAATAGATAGAATAAAATAATAGATAGATAAATAATATTTACAGTAATAAATTCTAAATAGTGCAAAAAGGTACAAAACATGGAAAATAAAATAAAATTTAAAGAAAAAGTAAACTTGAAGTGTGCAGTAAACTCAGTGTATTTTGATTATTTATTTAAAAAATGTGTGTATTAGTATAAACAGTGTTATAGAGCGCTGCCGTAAGCCCTTCTGACCACCAGAGGGCGCCGATATCTCATCAACACAAGCCTTAATACTATTGGTAGGCTAAATAAGAGGCAGATATTCCATCTTCAATCGGGCTGGCTGTAATGTAACTTCTGCTCTTTACAACCACAGACTGTAAATATTACAATATAACTCACCTGGAGGTTAACAGGTCAGGTCTAATTAACCGCTGCATCATGCGTTCATATTACACTGCTGCCCTCTGCTGGCACTGGGTTGCAATTACATCCAACAGTCACTATAACAGAAATGTATCCTCTTTTTAACCTTTTTTTCCAACACATAAAAGTGTGGAAAAATATAAATAGTGCAGTTACCTACCAACATTGTTTGAATTCAGATTCTTTAAATTATTTTTAACCATCTTTTATACTTATCTAAGAATAGGTTAAAACAAACTAAATGAAAAGACTTAATAATTTGTAAAATTGTTGGAAATTAAAGTGACTACACCTATAACTACCACAAGATTGAACATGTGTTTTTAAAGTCAGTAAAATATTAGTGTTTCCTTTGGTATAATAGCAGGAGTGTTTGGATAATTTCACTAGTAGACAAATCATTTCAACAACAGTATCTATCCACATTTGTAGATTATGAATCTAAAACTGAATGTTTTATTTATTTTCGGTGTTTTACTTAATTTTGTTATTGTTATTGTGTCTCCTAATTCACAATGAGTTCTCTACGTCGATACGAGCTTTACCTGAGAGTGACAAGTCGACGTCACTTCCGCTGCTGCGCATCACGCTCAGGTGTGCTCCTCAGGTGCGCCAAAGTTTAATATCGACCCTGAACCACTCGATCGGATGACGGGTGTCCGAGTTTGGATGAAAATACTGCGAAAAGAAGCATTGGTTGAACTCAGAATGCAGGGTTTTCTTCTTGTTTCTTTGTACAGGTGTGTGCAGGTGTTTCCTCGCTCTGTGCTGCAGCTCAGAGGTAAAATGATTTTCTAAACATTACTGTTCACAGAGCTCAGAGATTAAATGTTCATCTTACTCAAGTAATATGAATAGACTTCATTTATTTAATTTAAAAGTAAAAGCTCTTCATCCAGCCTTCTGTGTTTAATTTAGTCAAAGAAACAGCAGTCTGATTCATTTATTATTGAAGTGCAGTAACCAACAACTAACCACCAGAGGGCGCCCTCTCCATATAAAGTGATTTATAAACGATATAATGCATTTATTTTCAACCTATAACTTTTAATTAGAGTCTTACATCATTGTTTGATAAATTATTTATGTTAAAGCTGCATTTTTACCTTAAACCTTTTCTTCTTAGGTTTATTTTTACTTTTCAAACTTACTTTTTAATCAATTTAATTTGTTTATTGTTGTTTGGTTTTGGTTGTTCTTGTGACAGTTCATTTTGTAAGTCAATAAAGTAATTGGATATTTAAGATTACATCATTGTATGGTAAATTATTTATATTAAAGCTGCATTTTTACCTTTTAGTTAATTAAATTAGTTTTTAGTTTTTCTTAATGAAAATACCACAAACCTTTTTCTTGATTTAATTGAAATGATCAATTTGATTAAATCTGCTTATTTGTACAAACAGCTGGATGACAAGAATAGACTAAAGTCAAAGACAAGACACAACATTAGAAGCACAGTTTGGAGACAACCTGCTTAAATATTCAAACTAAATACAAATACTTTCATTTTCTCAATTATTATTATTATTATTACTTTTTGTCCTTTTCTTGTAATAATTCACAGGATGATGAGATCAACCAACACAGTCAGTGTGTGTGTGTGTGTGTGTGTGTGTGTGTGTGTGTGTGTGTGTGTGTGTCTCTGAGCTGAACGGTCTGCAGAGAAAGAGAGCTACCGAGGTCCTCAACCTGCTGCTACGAGACCTCAGTGACATCGGCGCCATCATCGGCACCAGTGATGTCAACACAGCTGTGAGAACGGACACACACACACACACACACACACACACACATCTTTCACAGTCTCAACATCTGTAACCTCCCCCTCATCCTCAGTCCTCAGAGTCAAAGGGGAACGGCTCAGCGGTGGAGGAGGAGTTCACATCAGCAAGTTCAAGTCTGAGGTCAAGTCTCTGGTGAACCGCAGCAAACAGCTGGAGAGCACGCAGGCCGACGCCCACACAAACATTCAGGCCAATGACAAGGAGACATGATGGAGACGAGGACATCAAGGTGAGGACACAAACACACTTTGTATTGTCTGTACTATATTATATTCTACGTTTAAACTTTGAATTTAAGTTTGCTTCATCCAAAACCCTTAAAGTGAAGTTAAACACAGATCATTTACAGTGAATGATAAAACCCAGGTTTATTCCAATAATCACAATGTTGTATAATCACAAACATTTTCTGAGTTTTATTAACTTGATGAACTAAAATTAGTTTTTCTTCTCCAACAGGAACTCTGTTGACGTCTTCCAGGAGGATCCCCTGTCGGTGTCCGTCTTCCTGCTCAGGTAGGAGACTCAAAGCTTTCTTAATGTTGTTTTGTTATGTTCCAGGTTTTAGGTCTTATAGATGTTTAGACTCAGTTATTTTAATCAGCTACTAAGAAGTCGATTTAGAGTGGAGGAACATCAACCTGGAACATAAAACAACATTAAGAAAGCTTTTGAGCTCCTACCCAATGGAGCTGGAGGATAGGGGGGGGGGGGACTGGCTGGATGTAACCCCCTCACCTGTGACACCTTATTGTATTGTGCTGATGTAACATGTACAAAACACAGAGGTCATGATGTCTGTTCAATATTTTATTGTAATAAAACTACTGCTGTGTCCATTTTGGAACATTTTTTTAGAGCGCTACTCAAACGTTTAGCTGCGTTGCTCGATCCTTACAAGTTATACCTCGTTGTAAAGGTGACTCATCAGGCTTTCCAACGATATAAAATACAACACCGATTAGTTTTATTAAAGGGGTGAAATAATTGAAAAAATAATGTTTCCAAACTTTTTGAGGAGTTTATTTCCAACAGTTATCAAAGTCACAGAAATCCTTCAGATTCAGCTTTATTGTCCAGGTATGCTTAAACACAAGTTTACTTTTGTAAACTGTGCTGTGTTTGTACAAAGGTATAATATTAAATATCAACAATAAACAAATATGTACAAGGATAAATAGGATAATACTGTAAACATGAGGTAGTTTTTACATTAAAAAGTGTTTGTATATGATCATTTAAATATATGTATATTCTCCTAAGAGAATTGTAACATCATAACATCCTTCATTTTAGAGTTGTTACAGGACGTGACAAAGGAAGGGTATCACACATGAAACAAGGTTTAAAAGGAAGTGAATTTATTATCAAATAATGATAATTATGTAAATCAGTCATGAATACAATGTATGGATGAGTGTAGTGTTGGAAAGTGTGAACAAAAGTAAAGCAGTTGGTGGAGGCCTGGGAGAAAGAGAGGGGAGACAAGTTAGACTGGAAGCCACTTAGAAGCAGAGTCCTGATGGACTCAGGTGTACCCAGTTGGACTAATGGCCTTCCTGACTCCGCCTACTTTCTGCCAAGTCAGGAAGCCAAACAAATGCAGGACGTCACCCCCCAATAAATCATTTATTTGACATATATTTAAAAAAAAATCTTAGACTTGAACAAAACAACACACAGATCCAGCAGGAGAAACAAAGTCTGCATCTGTCTCTGTGGCTCAGGAGATAGAAGGAGGACTTGGAGTCTGGAGGTTGTGAGTTCAAATCTTATCAGGACTGAGTGAATTTTAAAGGTGTCCGTCCTAAATGAAAGACTCAAGAGGAACATAGTGAAGCACCTGCCAGTACACACACACACACACACACACACACACACACCATTCTCTTAAAGGTGTTGGTCCAAAGGAAAGACTGAAGAGATCTGAGAAACACAGTTAGGTATCTGTCTCTGTGGCTCAGGAGATAGAAGGAGGACTTGGACTCTGGAGGTCATGGGTTCAAAACTCAGTGAATTTTAAAGTCCAACATCTGAAATGATGAAGATAAATACGCCCGGAGCTCATGTCATAGTGTGAAGGGATCGGTAGTGTAGTGGATAAGGTTGCGGTGTCCAAACTCCGTAGGTGGAGAGCCTGGGTTCAAATCCCACTGTGTCTGGTGATGGAGGGTTTGAATCTTATCAGGCAAATTTTAAAGTCAAAATCTAAAATGACGATGATAAATACACCCGGAACATGTCTCTAAGTGTGAAGGGGTCAGTGGCTGAGTGGGATCATCCTTGCATCTGCAACTGGTACACACTGGTTCAAGTCCAGCTTCCAGCGGGTGTGGAACCACTAGGGGGGCAAAGTTTCCCTTTACTCCTGTTGAGTGTTGGCTTGCTTACTGTAACTGCCCTTCTGATCTAATGACTTACTTTAATAAATAATAATAGAATGACTTAATTGATCCCAAACTGAGAAATTGTGGCATTACAGCACCAACAATATGAGTAAAAAACACAATATTAACAAATCTAAACACAATATAATATTAAATACAAAGTAAATAAGTAGTAAAAATATCAAAACTAAGAATGAGAATATATACAACCAGGACTTAACTTAGCATTACTAGACTTAAATAGAAAGATTAAATGTAAATGTACAAAAACAGAATAGTAAATGGACAATGTTCAAAGTTAAAAGGAGCATCAGTAAAATATGGAGCATCAGTGAAGTCAGTGGAGACACTTTTTATATGATATGTTAAGACCAAGAACACAACTCTCCTCTCTGTAGGTCATTCAGGGAACAGGAAGTTATAAAGGAAACAGGAAGTTGAGGGTTGTTTCTTTAATCTTCAAGGCTGCCCACAGCAGGCAGCAACAGCAATGTAAGTTCCTTTATTGAAGTTAAGGTTTAGCATTAGCATGTAGCTTAGCATTAGCATTGTTATAATTTGTTATGTATTGCATCTGATGTAGCATACCATGTGGCTTAGCATGTATGTTAGCATTAGCATGTAGCTTAGCATTAGCAAGAACTTGTATTAGTTTATTGTTGTGTCTTGTAGTTTTCAGTCCTTATTCAATGTGGTGAATATGTGGCAGACCATCTCTTTGCTCCCTTCAGGTGCAGCTCCTGCAATTGAAAGACAATGTTTCGATTTAGTTTGGACCAACAAAGACAATCCTCATAGCAAAGCATGCACAGGTGAGTATGTAGAAATGAGGTGCACAGGTGTGGGATCATCTATCTGTAGAGAGAGAGAGAATGTTAAAAATGTTTGATTTGCATTTAAATTGGGGAATTCAGTAAAAATAAAAACTGTTAAAAAATAAAATATTTAATAATTTATAAATGATTAATATTATTGATTAATTTAATAATAAATAAATAAGAAGTTTGTTCAAGCTGTTTCAATCATCTTCTTTCTGTTTAAAGCCTTGTGTTAAGAAATAAAAACGTGTGTGTGTGTGTGTGTGTGTGTGTGTGTGTGTGTGTGTGTGTGTGTGTGTGTGTGTGTGTGTGTGTGTGTGTGTGTGTGTGTGTGTGTGTGTGTGTGTGTGTGTGGTGTGTGTGTGTGTGTGTGTGTGTGTGTGTTATTAAACTCTGCTCATCCAACATCACCAAACAGACAAAGTTACTGTGACACTGAAGATGCAGAGGATTAAAATACCTCATTCAGTACAGCTGCAAATAGACGACAGATACGGTAGCTACATGCTAATGCTAAGCTACATGCTAATGCTAAGCCACATGTTAAGGCTAAACCACATGGTGTGCTACATCAGATGCAATGCATAACAAGGCTAATGCTAAGCTACATGCTAATGCTAACATACATGCTAAGCCACATGGTATGCTACATCAGATGCAATGCATAACAAGGCTAATGCTAAGCTACATGCTAACGCTGCACCTTAAGTTCAGTAAAGGAACTTACATTGCTGTTGCTGCCTGCTGTGGGCAGATTAAAGAAAGAACTCTCAACTTCCTGTTTCCTTTATAACTTCCTGTTGCTAAATCCAGAGCACTTCCTGTTGCACTCCAGAGCACTTCCTGTTGCTAAATCCAGAGCACTTCCTGTTGTACTCCAGAGCACTTCCTGTTGACAAAACAGATTCACAGAGAAACAGACAGGTGATCTTTTACTGATTGAACTGGACTTTGATCCATTTGAACTTTTGTGACCTGTTGGTTTGGTGACCTCAGCATCGTTAACAAAAAAAGGTCGAGAAATACAGTTATTGTTTTTTCTGGAACACCCTCATGTCTCCTTGAGACTCCATGAAGGTCTCAGTCTGAGACTAGAAGGCAACCTGACACTTTAAATGGTGTTCCAGTCCTATAATAAATAAATGAGTTCATGTTGATGTTGGTGTGTAACAGATTAGAGACAATACAAAGTGTGTTTGTGTCCTCACCTTGCAGCCAGCACAGCTCCTCCTGGCACATATATCATTACATACAGACTGAACAGAGATCAGAGCACAGATAGGGTGAGTGCAGCAGCTCTACAAAATAAAGATTGATTGAACTGACTTATTGTTTTACAAGCCTGTCATTGAAAGTTTCCCAATTATTAAAACACTAAAATACAGAAAGAAAAAAACATCATATTCCTATGTTGAAAAGAACCCACATACATTCATTAATCGTAAAAAAAAAACAACAACTAAGGAGTCTATTAATGAGCTACGCATGGTGCAATGGCACCCCCTGTTGGCCTGTCAGAGACTGCTACAGGAAGTGACTGATCAAGCCCTGCCTATAAAGGAAGCAGGAAGTGGAGGGTTCCTTCTTTAATCTTCAAGGCTGCACAGAGCAGGCAGCAACAGAAATGTAAGCTCCTTCACTTTACTGAAGTTAACAACTAAGCTTTCTTTTGTCTTGTATTAGTTTATTGTTTGAATTTAGAACTGATCTTGGTAATGACTAAACTAAATGTTGTTGTGTGTTGTAGTTTTCACTCCTTATTCAATGTGGTGAATAAGTCAAAAGAGTAACTAACATTCTGACTCACTCCATACGTGCACCATACATGTGGAGGACTGCACACACACCTGTGGAGGATATAGAGGACCATCTCTTTGCTTCCTGCACTGGCAGCGTGATGACGTGCAGCTGGACGAGTCGAGTGAGGTGAGGTGGGCTCCCTTCAGGTGGGGCTCCCTTCAGGTGGGGCTCCCTTCAGGTGGGGCTCCTGCAGCTGATGATTCACTTCAAAGACACATGTGAGTATGTAGGAATGAGGTGCAAAGGTCTGTAGTGAGAGATGAAACTGTCACTCACCTTCTTTAAGTCTTTGTTCTTCACACACTCAACCAGCAGCTCTACACACAGAGAGAGAGAGAGAATGTTAAAAACCACAGATAATTAAAGTTATTATCAGTGCTCTGTATGACGAGGTTGAAGGTCTTGGTCCTCAAAAGGATTTGATTGACTTCTCCTTTTGGGCGACAGATATATCGGCTAACAATAAACATGTAAACTACTATAACTAATTAAAACACAGCTGGCAGATAACCAACGACATTAAGGACTAATGCAGTGCAGCTGAACCTGATCACAGATGTTCTCTCCCTCCCCCCAGGTACTGAAGTCAATGTGATGCAGAATGGACACAGCAGTAGTTACTTTCCAAAAAAACAGGCCCAATGTGACATAACAAACTGAATGATAACTTTCATAAATCAGTTCTTTTTTATTCACTTGTCTCCAACACTTTACAAAACAAACATTTTAAGTTTAAACTAATTGTGATGTGTTTCTTTTAACACTTTTAGGGGCAGCCTGACCAAAACAAGATGAAGAGCTGTTAGCATGTCTGCTACACCATGCTGCCTCACTTCCTTCAACATTTGGTGAGTATTTTTCTTGGCTCTTGTTTTATTTTAACCGTTTGAGTCACATATAGTCATATTCTTTAAAGATCATATTCAAAATTTACATGCTGCTACAAACTTTTAAATTTTAATCTTGACTCTTGCTTTGATGTAGAGATTATTTTGACTTAATTAAATGATTAAAAATTATTAATGTATCAGAATGGCCCATTTTACTTCATGTTCTGTACAATCCTAGCTGTAAATTACTCAGATGCAACCTGTAATGAACTTTGAACCCTGATGTCTTTGTTTCTTCTGTGATATTCCAGGTGTTTCCTCGCTCTGAAGAGAAGGATCTGTGCTGCAGCTGGAAGGATTTTTTTTAAGAATAAAGTTTACTTGATAGCTGTTTTCTTTCAGTCATAGTTTGTTGTTTTTATCTTTCAGCTATAGATTTAGTTTAAAGTCTGTTTGCGTTAACTTTCATTTGCAGTTTTCTCTTAAAACACTTTCAAATTGTATTATGAAAGTCTTAATTTGTTTCATGTTGTCAGCATCTTCAATTCCTAATGAATGTTTTGTTGTAGTTGTTTCCTTCTTTGTTAATCAGCTGTGATATTTGTTTTCATTTGAAGTTTGGATTTTTTTTATAACATTAGATAAATACAGACAAGTTTCCTCAGAACAATGAAAGCTGTAAGCTACTATAAATAAAACACCTGGCAGATAACCAGAACATAATTACAGAAGTCACTGATGCAGAATGGACAGCAGTAGTTTTATTACAATAAAATATTGAACAGCCATGACCTCTGTTTTTTGTACATGTTACATAAGCACAATACAATAAGGCGTCACAGGCGTCCCCATTGGGTAGGAGCTCAAAGCTTTCTTAATGTTTTATGTTCCAGGTTTAGGTCGTATAAATGTTTAGACTCAGTTATTTTAATCATTTCATCCTTGTTATAGTGGAGGAACATCAGGTGATTAATGAAATAAAGATTATGAAAATGTAGTATTTCATTAAACACCTGATGTTCCTCCACTCCAAAAAGGATGAAATGATTAAAATAACTGAGTCTAAACATCTATAAGACCTAAAACCTGGAACATAATAAAACAACATTAAGAAAGCTTTGAGTCTCCTACCTGAGCAGGAAGATGTTGACAGAGTTCCTGTTGGAGAAGAAAAACACATTTTAGTTCATCAAGTTAATAAAACTCTGAAAATGTTTGTGATTATACAACATTGTGATGACTGGAATAAACCTGAGTTTCATCATTCACTAAATGATCTGTGTTTAACTTCACTTTAAGGGTTTTGGATGAGACTGAAGCAAACTTAAATAAAAGTTTAAATGTAGAATATAATATAGAAACATTAAGTATAAGGTCTTAAGAAACATCTTTACCATACATTAACTGTCACAAGAACTCAAATTAAAGTTAAAGCTTTAAACTAAATTAATCAGACTTTTGTTTCTTTGAGTTTCAATTAAACACAAAGCTGGATTAAAAGCTTTTACTTTTAAATTAAATAAAGAAGTTTATTCATATTACTCTGAGCTCTGTGAACAGTAATGTTTAGAAAATCATTTTACCTCGGATTAACTAATTTACATATTAGTCAATAAAGTTAAATTGAGGTTATTGTTTTATTTAAACTCTTCAATCTGATATTAGTTTAAATTATAAGTTTTGTTTTTAAAGTTTACTTTTACCCGGTGTTTAAACAATTAGTTTAAGAGGAGAAAACAAGTTCAAAAGTGACCTTCATAATGTTGATAAATGTTATCATCATCTTACTTTGACCATGTTTCCTCTTAACAAACATTTAGCATGAGCATTAGCCCACGTGTTAGCATTAGCATACAGCCCCACGTGTTTCTATTTTGTGGCTTTTCACACAAAACTGAACTTTTAAAGACTCACTGAGTATCTAGACTTCATCTCTCCTTCCCCGGCTCCTTCTTCTTTCACCGCTTTGATCCACAGCCAGGCTGCCCGCGGTCCGCACCGCTTACCTGCTCGAAACAATGATATACACACCTGAGAACACCTGAACACACCTGGGCGTGATTACCGGAAGCTTCAACCGGAAGTGTCGCAGAAAGTTTCTATGGAAGAAACGAAAAAGTTATAAATAAGAGGACACAAAAACAAGACTGAGTCAAAAATCAAATGTTTTATTGATAAAAAATATTTCTTAATGTAATTTACTTGTTTTTATGTTTTTTTTAAACTTTGAACTCTTGGTAACCAAGCAACATGAGAAAGTCAAACTCGGGTCACCATGGTAACTACCGGTAACTGCATTCGTTAGCAGGACGAAGCTAACCTGTTTTCCGGTCTTTAGGACACTGACTGAATTCTTACCCACAGATAAATTCAGTGTTCATGATGTTTACCTCCAGTTTCTCTCTTCCTCTCCCTGTCGTTCTCCAAAGTGTCCAAGAAGCAGATAAATTAGTTAGTTTGAGATACTAATGTGTAAAGATGGAGTTTAAAGGTGAAACTGCGCCCTCCTGTGGTCACTCTGTGAATTACTGCATTTGGAAGTTTTGTTTTTTTCACCTTTCTTGTTCTAGATACAAATTCAAACTGCTTTCTTTGTTTTATTTCTTTATAAATAAATGTGACTTGACTTAATCACAGATAACATATTTTCTTAATTATAAAAAGCAACTGTTTACTGCTTATGTTAATTAAAATCCATTGTCTGTTAATCACACGTGCATGTTAGTCTCTCAAAGAATCTGAAGTGTAACTTCACTGATTGCATATTCTTGTGTACGTTGGAGCGTTTCACTCCTGAGGAAGAAAGCAGATTGTGTTCCCATGACATATTAGGCAATATATTTTTCTTATTTTCTTATTAGTGGTAGATAATTAAAGACTACAATAAACAAGTTTCCTCAAAATGAAAGAAAACAGACAATGAAAGCTGTAAACTACTATAACTAAATAAAACACAGCTGGCAGATAAGGGTTTTTGCTTTGAATCCACGTCTTTTTAAGCCTTTTCTGCCTCGTAATTATCGTGCAAAAATCTAAATTCTTTGACTTCCAAGTAGAGTGAATGTAATCACTGAAATGTGTCTAGAAGGTGACTGGTTACTGCACTGACCTGTATCTAACTTAAAAGTAGTGAGGGTTTTTACCACACCTCTAAGAGCAGATAAAATGATCATCAGAGTTCAACCACTGACGAAACAAAGACACTGAAAGAGAGTACAGAAAGAAGACTTGGATGAAATGAAGAAACTTCTCAGTTGACAGTTTTGGTCTCACTCCAAGTCTGCACTCAGAAAGAAGAAAATAATTGATTTGCTTTCTTCAGAAGAAAAAAAAGAAAAGAGAGTGTTGCTTACAATCAGAGGACAGGTTATTTTGTCTTAGTCTGTCTTAGACAGACCCCTTTAAAAGACAGACTAAAGGGGTTTCACACTTGCAGAAAACTCCTTAAAAACTCCTGACATCTCAGAAAAGTGTCTTGACACTGAAGAAAGACGGCAGCACTCACCCGTCATTCCAAAGGGAAAGCAGGTGTCTTTTAATCACATCCAGGATTCCTTCGATCCACAACCAGAAGGAATACGCTTTCTCGTTCGCACTCTGCTCACAGACAAATACATTCAGTTCAAAGAGAAGATGTAGTTTTAACTTTATGATGCACCAAAAAGACTCCATTAGTATCTGCTAACCTGTACATGTTTCTCTTTTTGCAGCTTTTGGTTAAATTACAGATTTGAATACAGATTTTATTCATTTTTAACTTGTGGTATTAAAAAGTATCACAGATGTTGACGATCTTAAATCTCAGGCTGAATGGGGCTCACCTTGCACAACTTGGTCCAGGGGATTTGTCCCTCTGGGTTCCTCTTGGCTTTGGCTCCTGAAGATAAAAATAAATAAAAGTTAAAGGCCTGTTTGAAAGTCCTGCAGGTGTTTATCTGTTAAAGAAACTATTTCTACCGAGCAGTTTGTCAGCCAGCATGTTGAGCTGCTCCTGGTTCAGGCCTCGCTTGGTGACGGAGGAGAACTGCCAGCTGAGGACCTCGGACAGCTGAGACCACTTGGCTGCGGAGGGCTGAGGAAGAACTTCAGATTGTGAGGGAGAGGAGAGGAAAGAAGAAGAGATGGAAACACAAAAAGTCAAACCATTTGGTTTAAAACTACAGTTAAAGATACTCTGTTACGAATAGAAGACCTTTATTCAAAACCTTACTTCATATAAAAAGCACAGGCATCAAAATATACTCAAAATGCAAACCGTAAAACAGCTATACACGCGTCAACATTTAGATTGTATTAATGGTCTGTTTATGAATTTAAGGTGGCAGCTGTGAACTTGTTTAAATCATTAAGATATCACCTAATTGTATCTTTGATATTTGTGATAAGTAAACATCTGTAATCATCAATGAGAGTCCTGGTTGTGTACCCTGGGCTCGGAGGTCAGCATGTTGTACCAGAGGATGGAGGCCCAGCGCTGGGCAGCTGACAGACGTTAGAGATAACAACAAACAGGCAGGGACATGGCCTACAACAACAAAAACAGCAACAAACATCAGGAATAATCATAAACAAACTCATAAACTCTATAGTTTGACTGTAGTTACTAATCATGTCCACTAGATGGCAGCCAAACGCTGCTGTTTCATTTAACATCCAATCTTTCCCCACTTCCGTTCCACAGCTTAGTAGCACTGCGTGTTTTAAAGTATATATTTCATAATAATTAAATGCTTTGTTGTGCTTCAAATGATCTACATGATATTGAAGGTTTTAACTCTTTGTGGCTTTAATGTAACTTCTACACTTTACAACCACGGACTGTGAATATTACAATATAACTCACCTGGAGGTTAACAGCCTCGTCAGGTCTAATTAACCGCTACATCATGCATTCATATTACACTGCTTCCCTCTGCTGGCGATGGGTTGTAATTACATCCAACAGTCACTATAACAGAAATGTACCTAACCCTAACCCTTTTTTGTACAGGTGTGTGCAGGTGTTTCCTCGCTCTGTGCTGCAGCTCAGAGGTAAAATGATTTTCTAAACATTACTGTTCACAGAGCTCAGAGATTAAATGTTCATCTTACTCAAGTTATATGAATAAACTTCATTTATTTAATCTAAAAGTAAAAGCTCTTCATCCAGCCTTCTGTGTTTAATTTACTCAAAGAAACAGCAGTCTGATTAATTTATTATTTAAGTGCAGCAACCAACAACTAACCACCAGAGGGCGCCCTCTCCATATAAAGTGATTTATAAACGATAAAATACATTTATTTTAATTTTTATAACTAACCACCAGAGGGCGCCCTCTCCATATAAAGTGATTTATAAACGATAAAATACATTTATTTTCAACCTATAACTTTTAATTAGAGTCTTAAATCATTGTTTGGTAAATTATTTATATTAAAGCTGCATTTTTACCTTAAACCTTTTCTTCTTAGGTTAAATTTTACTTTTCAAACTTACTTTTTAATCAATTTAATTCGTTTATTGTCGTTTGGTTTTCTTAATGAAAATACCACAAACCTTTTTATTGATTTAATTGAAATGATCAATTTAATTAAAACTGCTTTTTTGATTATAATTAAAATATTTGATGTGAGTACATCTTACAGCTCATTGAGGTAATTTAGATTAAACATAAATTAAAAGGAAACATTTACAAGTTAAAAAGGTTGTTTTAAAATTCTTCTTCCTTGCCTTGATTTTGTTAACTTTCATATGCTCATAACTCTTCTTCACCTACCTTATGTTCTCGATTAACATTCAAAGATAATATTA